TCTCTCTCTCTCTCTGTCTCTCTCTCTCTCACACACACACACACACACAAATTAAGGGAGGAGTTTATTTTGGCTCACAGCTTAAGGAGAGGCGTAGTGGCAGAAGTGTAAGAAGGTGGCTGGTCACGTTGCATCTGCAGTCAGGAAGTGTGGAGAGATGAACAATGGTGCTCGGCTCACATTCTTCTTTCTGTGAACTCCAGGACACCGCCCAGGGAATGGTGCCACTCACATGTAGAGTTGACTCTTCCCGAGTCAATTAACCTAATGTCCCTCACAGACCTCGCAGTGCCCGGAGGTTTGTCTCTTTGGTGACTCAAGATTCTGCTAAGGTCACAACCATGACTCAGAGACAGATGCAGAAGTGTCTATTGGAGCATCTACCCTAGCCTACAGCTGACCCACTAGTCAAAGCCACACTGTATGAGTCAGGGTTCTCTAAAGGAACAAAAACTGATAAAACAAATATTCATATTCATATCAAAAGGGGACTAACTAGACTGTCTCACAGGCTGTGGTCCAGGTAATCCAATAATGGCGGTCTCCTGACAGAAAGGCCAAGAATCCAGTTGCCTAGTTGGTGAGGCTAGATGTCTCTGTCCCAACCTGATGCAGGAGTCCTTGAGGGTTCCTGGAGAGCAGCTGGTCTTGGCTCTGTGTTGGAATCTTGAAGAAGTTGGATTTAATACTAGGCACAGCAACAGGATGGGCGTTTGTCATGGAGAGTGAGGGCAAGCAGGCAACAGGTAGAAGTCTCCTTCTTTCCTGTCCTTTACGTGGGATGCCACCAGAAGGTGTGACCCAGATTTGGGTTGAGTCTTCCTTCTTCAAATAATGCGGCTTAAAATCCCTCACAGGAGTGCCCAGCAGCTGGGATTTCAGTTGATTCCAGATGCCGTCAAGTTGACAACCAAGATTAGCCATCACATACACTATATCTCCTTGAAGTACAGTCATCTTCTGTATCCACAGACTCCACAGTCTCAGAGTCCACCAATGACAGCCAAAGGAAAACAATGGCATCTACAGGAACAAGCACAGGCTCTTGTCACCGTTCTCCAGACAACAGTGTAGCAACTATTTACATGGTGTTGGCATTGCATTAGATATTCAATAAGGTAGGGACAAGTAATTTGAATAAATGGAACACAGATTTTATATGAAAGACTTGTGGTCATCTGTGGACAGGGGCACTTGCAAAGTTACCTGTGGCTACCACAAGGGAGCACTGCCCTGTATCATAACTCACTAACCGGCCCTTCCTAGGTCAACCTGACAGCTCCCCCATCCCAGCCTAATCCACACTCTCTGCCACAGCCAGGGAAATCTTTAGGTGTGTTTATGTGCTGTGTACGTGTGTGCAATGGAGGCTGGAGGACAGCTTCGTACGTTGTTCCCCAGGCACCATCTGCCTTATTTTTGAGACGGGGTCTCCCACTGAGACCTAGAATTTGCTGGTATGTGAAGCCAGCAAGCTTTAGGGATCTGTCTCTACCCCCTCAGCACTGGGGTAGCAAATGTTAGCCACCACATCTGGCTTGTTATTTGGGTGTTGGGGATTGAACTCAGGTCTTCACACTTGTCAAACAAGTACTTTGTCAACTAAGCCATGTCCCCAGCCCCTCCATCAGCAAGTTAAGGGCTGTGGGATATCGCTCTGTATGCTGTGAATGTGCTGCTCTGATTGGTTGATAAATAAAATGCTGATTGGCCAGTACCCAGGCAGGAAGTATAGGTGGGTTAAGCAAACAGGGAGAATTGTGGGAAGGCTGGAAGGCTGAGTCAGGAGACGCCAGCCAGCTGATGTCCAAGGAGCAGCATGTAATGGCACACAGGTAAAGCCATAGAAAGCTTGGCGACATATAGATGAATAAAATTGGGCTGAGTTTAAGTGTAAGAGCTAGTCAGTCACTGGTAGGCCTGAACTGATGGTCAAACAGTTTTAATTAATATAAGCTTCTGAGTGATAATTTTTATAAGTGGCTGCGGAGCTGTGGTGAACAGTCATTTACACATTCTCTAGCTCTTTCTCTGAGAACAGCTCCTCTGGAAGAGGAAGCCTTTCCTGTGGAGTCACATGCACAGGAGGTGGGGGCAGCCGAGAACGCACTTGCAGCAGCTAAGAATACAGAAATCCAAAAGATGAAAGCTCTCAACCAAAGGGGTTTGTTTTAAATGTTTCTAGTTTAATCAGTTAAATGTAATATGTCTACTTTATTCAATAAAAGTAACAAGTGGGATCTGGGGGGATGGCTCCATCAGCAGAGTGTTTACCATGCAAACATGTAAGCGGCTGCAGGGTCCGTGGGGCTGGGCAGGACCGGAGAAAACTTCAGCTACACTTATGTCTTCAATAGCATCTGTCCAGAAAGCTTTGTCCTGGGGTACATCTGTATCACTGAAAAGCTCCCTCTGTGTGGGAAGGACTTGAGAGCCCTGACTTCCTTTTGCATGGCCTATTATTGAAATTAGAAGACAGAAAACTCCACTTATACACAGCCCACCAGGGTCTGTCTTACACCCTGTTTATTCATGTCAATGATCATCCCAGGAGCACTGATGTTCAGGAGCATTCTGCGACCTTGGTTGGCTGGAGGAGACAACTAGAGCCACAGAATGGACCTGTGAGAAATTTAACCATAATCCAGTATTGACAGCCTGCTAACTCTCCAACCAGGAACTCCTCATCTTCTGGCCCTTGTGTAGTAGATGTGCAGCTGACCAGTGTCTTGGGTACCAGAGGACCAGCACATCATCTCAGCCTCCAGAAGCATTTCCTTGTCCCTGGAGGATGGAATTATAAGAAATGTGTTATAATCATCCTGACGGGAACAAAGCTACTCTCCAGAGAAACCTGTGCCCCTCCCTTTGGCCATCAGACTGTTGAAACAATGGACCCCAAGAAATTTCAGTTTACCTGGGAGTCTCATGCTGTGAGAAGAAAAAGGCTGAAGCCTATTGCCAGCGAGAGAGATGTTTGTCTCCCAGAAACAATAAACTCACACAATGCTGACCATTTGTCAGACCACCTTGCAGGAGAGGCTGGAGCCTGGACAATGCTGATGGTGAGGACCACACTTTGACCAGGATGACTGAGTTATGCATATGTTCTAACTTCTCTTAAAACCTAAACCTTATGTCAGGACCCCAGAAATGAACTTAGGTAGTCACTGGGCTTAAGGGAAGGGTTTACAAGTAACTGAGCTGACATTGTTAGAGTTGTCAGAGCCCATGTGACCCTCATATCTCCCCAACAATATAGGAGTCTGAGAGTTCAACACATATATGGGCAAGGTTTGGCAGTATCATTCAGGTGTGGCTAAGTCTCTGGTCTTTTTATACCCAAGGTACAATGTATCCATCCCAGGTGACCAATTCAACACCCAGTATCATTTCTATCCAAATTCTCACCACCATAATAAAGATGCCAAGTAGCCAAGTGAAGGCCTTGGATTCATTCTTGCATTAAAAGTAATGCCTTCTGGGCGGTGGTGGCACATGCCTTTAATCCCAGCACTTGGGAGGCAGAGCCAGGCGGATTTCTGTGAGTTCGAGGCCAGACTGGGCTACCAAGCGAGTTCCAGGAGAGGTGCAAAGCTACACAGAGAAACCCTGTCTCGAAAAACCAAAAAAAAAAAAAAAAAAAAAAAAAAAAAAAAAAAAAAAAAGTAATGCCCTTATTTTTTTTCTTAACAGGGAAAAAGCCAGCAAGAGAAAAAATAAACAAACAAAAGACCCACAAATCACATATAAAGGAAAATCCACCAAAATAACAGCTGATTTGTCAATAGAAACTTTAAAAGCCAGAAAAGCCTAACATAATGCAATCCAAGTCCTAAACATCATGACGACCAACCTAGACTAACACACCCAGCAAAGCTATCTACCATAATTGACACCATGATAACCAACCTAGACTAATATACCCAGCAAAGCTATCCACCATAATTGAAGGATAAAGAAAAACTTGCCACAATACAAACAGCCTAAAAAATTTTATATCAGCAAGTGTAGTGGTGCATACTTTTAATTTCAGCATTTGGAAGGCAGAGGCAGGTAGATCTCTGTGAGTTCAAGGCCAACCTGGTCTGTTGAGCAAGTTCCAGGACAGTCAAGGCTACATAGAGAAACCCTGTCTTGAAAAACAGAAAACAAAACAAAAAAAAATGATATCAAACAAACCAAACCTAAAGAAAATACAGGAAGCAATACATTGAGCCAAATATTTAATATATATTAAAATACAAATAACAGCACCCAAAATTAGTAGCTCAATGACAATGAGCATAAGCATACATGTTTCATTAATAACTCCAAATTTCAATGACCTCAATATTCCACTCAAAGATATAGGCTAAATGAACAAAATCCAAGCTGGGTGGTGATGGCACATGCCTTTAATCCCAAACCCTGTCTCAAAAAACAAACAACCAAAACCAAAACAAAAAAAGAAGGAAAATCCACCTATCTGTTGTCTGCAAGAAACTTCTTGACTTTAAAGATAGGTACCACCTTAGAGTAAAAGGATGAACAGAAAGTATTCCAATCAAATGGGACCAGGAAGCAAGCAGGTGTCTTAATAGTGATCTTAATATCTGACAAAATAGACTTCAGATTAACACTAATCAAGTAGGATAAAGAAGGACACATCAATAAAGAAAATTTAAAAAAAGGACACATCATTCCAATCAAGAGATGAATTAACCAAGAAGACATTAGCATCCTAAACATAGATGCACAAAACTTTAGTGTACACAATTTCAGGGGGATAATATACTACTAAATTTAAAGACATGAATTAACATCAATCCATTTATAATAGTGATTTCAATACCCCACTTTCTCCAATAAGCAGGTCATCTGAAAAAAAAAAAAAACAGAGAAACACCAGAATTAATTGGCATCATACATTTAATGGACTTAACAGATATCTACAGACTATTTTACCCAAACACCAAAGAATACACATTCTACTCAGCAATACATGGATGTTTTCTAAAAATAGAACAAAATCCTGGGACACAAACACACACAAAAATCTTCACAAATTCAAAAAGATTGAAATCACTCCTTTTATCCTATCTGACCACAATGCAATAAAATTTGAAATGGACAGCAAGAAAACCTCTAGTAAGCATATAAACCCACAGAGATTAAATGACTCATTATTGAATGATGAGTGAATCAAAGAAGAAATCAAGAAAGAAATGCAATTTTCCTGGAAATAAATGTCAATGAGAATATAACAAAACCTCTGGGACATATTGAAGGCAGTCCTATGAGGGAAATCTAAGTGCCTAGATTTAAAATTAGAGCACAAGTAAATCACTAATGCAGTTCCCAAAACGGGAAAAACAAGAACAAACCCAACTCAACCCCAGTTGAAAGCAAGAAATAATAAAAATCAGAGGAGAACTCAGTGAAATAGAAACAAAGAATACAACACAAAGAATCAATGAATCTAAGAGCTGGTTCTTCGAGAAGATTAACAAGATTGACAGACCCCTGGCGCAAGTAACAACAATAAAAAGAAAAGAAGGAAGGAAGGAAGGGAGGGAGGGAGGGAGGGAGGGAGGGAGGGAGAGGAAGAACCTAAATTTATCAGAATTAGAAATAAACAGGGAAACAATAATGCTCATTATAAAACCGACACCAAAGAAATTCAGGATATTATAAGAATGCTTTTAAAGCCTTATACTCCATTAAGCTAGAAAAACCTAAAATAAATGGATAAATTTCTAGATTCATGCAAATTACCAAAATTAAACCAAGGAGAGATCAACCACCTAAACAGATGCATAACTAATGAGAAGACTTAAATAGTAATTTAAAAAAAAAAACCTTCCAGCTTAAAAATAAATTCTAGGATCAGATTGATTTATAACAAAATTCTACCAGCCTTTCAAAGAAGAGCTAGACCCAACCCTTCTGAAACTATTCAAAATAATAGAAACAGAAGGAGCATTCCCCAACTCATTCTATGAAGCCACTATTGCTGTAATGCCAAAGCAAGATACAGAAACAACAAAAGGAAAACTAAGGTTCAATATCCCTGATGAACACCGGCTAAAAAAAATGCTCAATAAAATACTTGTAAACAGATTACGGACATATATGAAAAACATTATCTACCATGACCAAGTTGGCTTTATCCCTGAATGTAGGGATGGTTCAACATATGCACATCAATAAATGTAATAAACCACATAAATGGACTTAAGGATAAAAAAATCACACATGTATCTCAATAGATGCAGAAAAACTCCAACATGCTGTCATGGTAAAAGTCCGAGAGAATATGGGACTAAAGGGAACACATCTCAACATAATAAAAGCTATAAGAGAGAAACTCACATCCAGCATCATCCTAAATAGAGAAAAGCTTGAAGTGATTCCACTGAAATCAGGAATGAGACAGAACTGTCTCACTTTTCAATATGAAGCAAGAAGCACTAGCTGGAGTAACAAGTAGGAGAAGAAAATTAGATGGATATAAGCAGGGAAAGAACAAGTCAAATGATCACTATGTGTAGATGGCATGAAACTAGGTATCAGTGACCACAAAAATCTACCACAAAACTTCTAAAAAGGATAAACAAATTCAGCAGTGTGTCAGGATACAGAATCCACTTGCACAAATCAATAGCTTTTCTATACATCAAGAACAAACATACAGAAAAAGAGTTTATTGAAGGCAGACTTTTCTGTCCCATCAGCCTGCTCCCCCAATAACCACAAAGAGGCTTAATATTAATTATAAATGATCAGCCAAGAGCTCAGGCTTGTTACTAGCTAACTCTTACAACTTAAATTAACCCATTTATATTCATCTACATTCTGCCACACACGTCCTTACCTCTCTTTCATCTTGTACCTCCTGTTTCCTCTCCCTAGCTGGCTGGTGACTTCTCTGACTCTTCCCTCCTTCTTCCCAGTGTCCTTAGTTTGGTTCTCCCACCTAGCCTTATCCTGTCCAGCTATTGGCCAGTCAGCTTCTTTATTCAACCAATCACAGCAGCATATATTCACACACTATAAAGGAATATGCCACAGTTTATGGACAAAATCCCATTCACACTAGCCTCAAAGAAGATAAAATTTCTAAGAATAAACTTACCAAGGCAGTGAGGGACCTCTACAATGAAGACTTTAAAATTCTGAAGAAAAAGAGAAAAATATTAAGAAAATGGAAAGACATCTGTCGGAACACAGTTCAAGAATGGAGTTGTGCAAGAGGAATTCTGAGTGCTTGTAAGAAAATAAGAGTCTTGTTTCCTCAGTTTCTTCAAAAACACACGATTGTTCTTGGGTTTGCTTTCGTCTCCTTCCCAGGTGTAGCAGATAGGGTGAGTTCACTTTAGATTATTCATTACAACTGGATATTGTTATTTTTTTATATGTCTCTATGAGAAAATGTTTTTGGCACATGTGGCTTGTCCTTGTGATTACATACAGCTTGAAGTCATGAGAACTTCACTCGGGTAATTTTTCCTGACCCTCAGAGTATAAATTGTCTGATGCCCTGAATAAAGTTGACTATTGCAAGAGACTTCAGTCTGCCTCATTTTTTTTTTTGGCATTTAAGATGTTTTAATAATATAAGTTTTTTTTTTATGACAATGAGACATGTCTGCTCCTTGCAGCACCAATCTACTAAAAAGTAGATGATGGGCATCAAAGAAACTCCATATGGAGTTTGCTTTCCTTGTGGCAAAAGTTAGACACTGGGCAAGAAAATGTCCTTGCCTCAACTGATGAGAGTGTGCTGTCCAGGTTGGACAAGCAGGACACAAAAGAAAGTGACTGCTGAACTTTGCCAAGACAAAGTGGAACAGTCTTTCAAAAATTCCTGCTTCATAGAAAAGTCTGTCAGATGTTCTAGGCATATAGGCCAAAGATGGATGTCCCAACATTGCAGAGGAATCTTGGTTGACTGTCCAGGCTGCTAGCTGTTTCTGTCATTTTTTTCAATTTTCTTAATTTTTTAAAATTTTATATTATTATTATTATTATTATTATTATTATTATTATTTTACCAAATGCAGTTTATTGAAGGAGGGAGGAGGTCTTAAATACAGGCTTGCAGCACAATGGGAGAACCCCAGAGGGCAGAAGTTCACTACCAATGTTTTACAATCTTGCATCTAAGCTGTTAAGGCCCATTATGGAAGATACACAGAAAAGGAACTTCCATTAAGCATTCAGGAGGGTAGAACCCAGCAGGGAATTAGCATAGGGAGGAAATCAAGGTCAAGGTTTGCAAGCAAGACAACAGTTACCCAAAACGGGAGCCAGGGACCTACAGGTCCCCCTTTTACTAGAAAGTGAGTTTCTGACTTAGGTTGCGTGGGACGTCAGCAGGTCACCTTACCCATCATGGAGACGCCTGCCCAGGCCACACAGGTGCTCTGTCTTAGGTTGGTGAGCGCCCTCCAGGCATTACCCATCTCTGAATACTCATTATCATACAGGCTCAATCGTGTGTGAGCTGCAGAGTTAACTGTTGCCAAAGATCTCAAAGTGGCACTGGGTTTGCAATCTGTGTGTTCAACACATAAAAGACCAACAGAAGTCCTATCTCACCCATAGCCAGTAGGCTAAAGACAACTGAGCCATTCCCTTCCTTAATGAGCCTTATTGCAAATTGGGGTCCTTGTAAGATGGTATCCCAAAAGCAAATGGATCTTGAGTTTATAAATTTATAATTTTCAAAGCCAATCGGACTGTATATAATTATTGAATTAAATTTATCATGCCCAATAGAATGGAAAATTAACTAACTGTGGTAGCTACTTTTGCTGCCAGGGTCTCCACTGTGCTAGCTGTAGTAACCAATTATGAAATGGTAATCCCAGAAACAGTAGCAGCAGTGGCTGCCATTGCTATAACAGCAACAATGGCAACAGTGATGTCAAATTCTCTTCTGGAGCATGTGGACATCCACTGGCATGGATACAACTCCAGGAACACCAACCGCCAAGGCCCATTTTTCTTGATCCCAGCATGACTTAGGCTGGCAGCTCTGCAAAAGAACAACTAAGAACCATAAAGAAAAAATAGGCAGCTTACAAGAAGCATAACTAATGGTCTCATAATGGCTACATTCAGGCTCATAAGTTTTAAGGTATCTTCAAAGGGGGCTAAATGAATTTCAGGAGGCCAATAAATGTTGCACAGAGCCACTCCTAAAAAGTAAGTACTACACCAGCTTGAAGAGGATTGTGAAAATGAAAAGGCTTAGCTGGCATACTACTGTTAACAAATGGAGGTCAGTGACCTTCAGGGTTATCCTTATTCTCTAAGGTGTCTGGGTGACACTTTCTCAAACATACTTGAAAAAGCAGTTACCATACATTACCTTCTGGAGAATCCAACCGCATGGCTATAGTTCCTAGGCTTACGTTAATGCTTGCCAAGGCTGGCCATATTGGGCTCTCAATCCCCATTGGCATCAGAAGGGGAGAGTTTTTCACAAAGGCCCAATAGATCTCTGCCATGTTGGGCTTCAGCAGCAGCCACAGGGCACACACAGAACTCAGGAATCCAAAGAGGAACCTCATTGTCCTGTGGAAAGACATAAACAGAACCCCGGGCCCATACCAGCACCAGATCGGGTCCCCTCCAAGTGCCAGTAGAAAGATCCTTCCATTGCTCCAGAGGGTGATTTGCAACAGGAGCCCTCCAGTGCTTATCTGCAGCAGATACTCCAGCAGAATCCACCGATAAAAAATTTAAAATATATAAAACAAGGGAAAGAATAGAATGTGGAGAGGAGAGATGAGTCCCTAGTTTCCCCTTTTTACTTTAGCAAAATATGTTTGTTTTTTTAATAGTTCAAATTTTTCTTTTATTTTTTATTTTTTATTTTTTAATTAATTATTTTTCTATTATCAGCTTGATACAGTATAAATTCTTATCTTAATAGTGAATTGTTTCATTCAAGTCTGCCTCGTTTTTAGGCTCCATTCTTCCAGACTCCACCACCATTCTAGACCAGTAAGCAAGTGCCACCATGAATCAGGGACCTGCAGTCAGCTACAAGATGAGAGGAGGACCCTCCCAGAAGGAGGTGAGTGAGAATAATGGGGCAGAGACCGGGGAAGGTTTTGTCTTGTGTTGAACTTGTGCACCGTTTTTTAAAGAAAGGAGAAAAACAAGCATCAAAATCACAACTATTAGATGCTTGTACTTTGTTTCTAATTGTAATCTCTGGTTTCCAGAAGAAGGAACTTTAGATGAAGATATACAGGGTTTGAAAAAACATTGAAAATGCATTTAAACAAGAAAAAAAGATCCCCGTTAAATTTGGGGTCACTTGGGCATTAATTTGGACTGTATTAAAATGCTAACTTTACAACCTAGACAAGCTAGGGCACAGCAGGGAAACAGAATTCATTACCAATTCAGATTAAAAGAGGCATTTGTGTATCGTGTAGCTTCTTCACTGCCTTTAAAATTACTTATTTTCCCCATTAAATTGCCTCCCATAGGCACAAGAGGGAAAACCATTGGGATGGGTTTATTTACAGCATAAGGCCCATAAAATACTAACTGCTTACCTTACTCTTCTTGCTCAATTAGTAAATCAGGGGAAGACCCGATGTCAATAATTATATGGGTTTGGTCCTTGTTGTATTATATTACCCTCAACTAACAGTCAGCTTTTAAGAGCATTACAGAACCTTGTAGATTTTCAAATTTCATTTGCAGATTACTACTGAAGGAATTATCCAGCTGGTGAGCTATGGGATTTTCTCATGCGAACTGAATCTGTAATTACAGAAATTGTCCAACCTTCTCCCATTCCACTGGCAGATACTTATTTTATTGATGGCTCATCTAATGGTATAGGAGGGATATTATGGTCCAGATAGTCATCAATCTATTTATACTTCTTTTTTCCCCAGCCCAACAGGTAGAACTGGCTGCTTTGATTCATCTATTATGGTTAATTCATAAACTTTTAAATATCGTTTCAGATTCTGCTTATGTTGTAGGATTATTTCTAGCAATAGACTCAGACTTGTGCATGCTCCAACCTCCCTGGTTTTATTGCAGAAGGAAATAAGCAAGCTGATGCATTAACCTGCCCTATTTTTACTTCTCCAGAAGAAAATTGGGAAGGGGTAGACGTCTGTCATTGCAGATGGATCCACTGAAACATTATGGATTTCTTTTGGGCTCCTGGCCCCAGGCCATCAGGGACAGTGACGGAAGGCAAGGGGACAGTAGAAGTCACCAGCAAGATGGCAAGCCTCCAGGTGAAGGGCAGAGGGAGATATTGACCATGTCATCAGAAGTCAAGTCTGCCACCTCAGGCCAAGTTAAGGTCCTATGCAGCAAGGGAGAACACAGTCTATGGAAGACACAGCCCTATGTCACCGAGACTCTGTTCCTGGCAGAGCTAGCTGCTTTGACCTGTGCATCGCAGTGAGTGCTTCTGATTACACGTGTGTTCCCATCCTCCTTTGCTTTAACTCACAGATTGGATGTATCCAGCTCCTGTTATCTCTCCTGACTCTGTTTATGACTGGACCTTGAGACTAATGGACTCATTCATCGGAAGAATCGACTGCATTTCATTTTTCCTTGGGATTTAAATCACTTCCTATGCATAGGACATTGTATTCCTATTAAAGGCAAATGTGGGCTTATGTTCCATAAGATACTAAGAACTATGAATCATATGGGTCTCTTTTCAAGCTATTCGATTTATTTTTCTGATCAATATAGTAGTGTAACCAATAGCACTGGGCATGGATTGGATCCCTGTTCTTTTTTTTAATTTATTTTATATGCATTGGTGTGAAGGTGCCAGATTCCCTGTAGCTGGAGTTACAGACAGTTGTGAGCTGCCATGTGGGTGCTGGGAATTGAACCCGGGTGCTCTGGAAGAACAGTCAGTGCTCTTAACCACTGAGCCATCTCTCTAGCCCCATCCCTGTTCTTAGTGGCAGAGTATTTATTACACACAATTCTTTCAATGTTCTAATATTATTCACCATGTTTATAATGTATTGCTTATAGGATACACATGCATCAAATAATAATTAGATTTATCTACAACCTCTCAAATCAAAACCACTCTGGAAGTACTTCTATGAAAAAATAAAAAAGAGGACAATGTTGGAATATAGTCCAAGAGTGGAGTCGTGCA